AAAAAAAAAAAAAAAAAAAAGTCAATATGTGCTGTGGCCGGCAGGTGGCATAGTGAATAAAGGTGCTGGATTTCCACATGACCCACCTTGGTTCGAGTTCCAGACCTGGCAGCTTGATCTCTCGCTTTCCCTTTCTCTCTCTTGCTGTCTCTCTCTGGTCAAGTTGAAACAGAATAATAACAAATAGAATTAAATAAGTAAATAATTCTTTAAAAAGAAAAATCAATATGTACTAAGTCACTACTAGAACCTGCTGCTAACTCAAAGAGCCTATTGTAGAGAATTTGCCACCTTATAGATATCTTTCTCACAAATCTGAGTTACCTGTTTGAGGAGAATCTGACAAGTTGTCCAGTTTTCTTGTTTTTGTTTTTCTTACAGCAACTGGAGCTTCTCACAGGGGAACCACCTGAACATGATACATATCTGCATGAATGTAACTGGACAGAAGAAAACAATTGCCAGACTTCCTGTGCTAAAATCCACCTGACCAAGGCCCCTGGGGCTGTCTTTCCTGCTAGTGATGGCTGGCAGGCTCCCTGCTCAGATGTGAGACAGTTGACTGCCTCGGCTCCACCCACCTTGGAAAACACCAGGGTGTCTCCTCCATCACCAGCTCTGACAGAGTCAGGTCCAGCTCCTATGTCAAGTTGTCCTGCTGGAGAAAAAGATATGAACATCTTCCTCTAGATCAGAAAGAGTTTGATCACCTTTATGTAAAATGTAAGAGTCTTGACTAGCTGTAGTAGTAAGGAAATCTAAATTTTCTACCAACCCTTCATCAGCAAGATTTTTCATATTCAGTCCTATGGTTAAATCCAGGAGAAACAGAATATATTAAGACTCACTCAATATAGAATACTTGAGCACCTATTACGTGCCAGGCATATGGTTTATGATAACCATATAGTATTTGTTTTCTCCTCTGCTGATACTTATGACTAGAGGAGGAGACAGAATATAAACACACACACACACACACACACACACACACACATATATATACACACATACTGTTATAATTAAAAATAGTGGAAGTGCCTTGAAGGAAGCAACAAGGTTTTATGAAAGAGAATACAGCAAGGAGTCTGTGTCTGATTTAGATGGATATTAGAAGGGCCTGACTCAAGAAGTGACAGCAGACAAGGGAAAAAGAATCCAGGCCCAGAGATACAACTATCCAAAAGCCTTGAGACATTGGCCAGTGGACATGTTGAGGAAGTACCTACCAGGTGCAGGGAACTCTTCTAGTGTTGGAGACAGCCATGGACACAACAGAATTTCCATTCAAGAGGAGTTGGATAAAGAGGGAGAGAAAAATCAACAAATTGATAATTTCAGTAATTATAGTGCCAAGGAGAAGACAATGTGATAATATTGCAGGAAGGACATGGGAATGCAAAAAGTACCACCTTAACCAATGCTTGGGGAAGGCCTGACCAAAAGGCAGTTATTTGGGTAAGACCTGAATATTAAGGCTGAGGCCATGTGAAATTCTGTGGAAAGAAGATTTAGAGGAGTGGAAAGTTCACAGATTCCACATAGGAACAGTTGAGTGCAAAAGGTGACGAGTGTGGCCAGGCCAACTATAGGCCCTGGCCTACAGTCTGAGAACCTGAATTCTTTCCCCAAGTGGGGGTAAGAAAAACAGCATAGGATTGTTGAACAGAATAAACACAGTGAATCACATGCAGTGTTTTATCCACTGGCCAACACATAGTAAGTGCTCAGTATATGTTAGCTAATATTACAAATGCACTTGCCAAGAACTCAATGAATGTAAACTATAATTATTATCTTCCTTCTGTTGATAAGTACTCTGTTAGCAAAGTGCTTTTTGCACAAAGAATATTAACAAATTCTTGATGAATGAATGAGATGGGAATAAATTCAGTCTCATGAGATAGTAAAGAGAATGATTGATGGCAGAAGCATTATTTTAGTTTGTAGTGGGTACTAAATTTAGATTTTAAAGGGAAGCTTGTTTGTGGCTTATTTCGACAATCAAGCAGGTAAGTTCAAATGTGATGGAGGAAATAAAGGAAACTCATTGCTTCTGGAAGAAAGATAGCATGTGGAATCTCTAGAGAGCTCCACACATTTCGTGGTATTTCCTGGTTTATTCTTCTAACTCTCCAATAAAAAGCACAAACAGGGAACCAAAATGTAGAAAGGCTTCCCCATCCTGCTCAGAATCTTTGCTGTTTTCAGTACCATGATGAACTGATTGCCAATGTACTTTCAGATATTACCCCTGATTCTCAGACTTTCAGACTTGGTCTGAATCACACCATTGTTTTCTGACTCATATAAATATATATATATATGCATATATATTTACAGAATAAATTTACATATGTGTGTATTTACAACTATAATAGATATCTTATTCTAATGCTCTATCTATCTGTACCCAAACACACCATTGATATATATCCTTATTATTTCTGCTTCTCTGAGAACCTTGACTAATACAGTAAGGAAGAGTTAAGATACAGAAAGAATGGGGCCAGTAGGTGGTGTGGTGGTTAAGGTGCTAGACTTCCATATGGCTGGCCACATTTTGAGTCCCAGATCCAATGGCTTATAAAATCACACCAGGCACGTGGGCATGCATGCTTGAAATCCCAACATAGGTAAATGGAGTAGAAGGGATTGTGGTGTGGTCATGATTTCTCACTTGGCCTCTCTGTCTCTGTTTCTCTCTGGTGAGCACACATGCCCTATGGTAGAGACCTTAAAAAAACAAAGATATTGAGAAACTGATAACCTACAAAGGCACACACTGAGTCCCACAGTTTATTATTAAGTCACAGAGCTGGGTGGTTAAATCCAGGGTGTGGGATTTAAATCAGATTCCACTAATTGTTATCTGTGTTGGATAAACTACTTAACTTCTCTAAACCTCAATGTCATCATCTGTAAATAAAGTTAATGCTTATATAGTCCTTTAAAGCAAGTCTGGAACTTGGTTATGGCTCAGTAGATGATAGTATTGGTGATCAGGATAACGATAATAACAATAGTAGATGCAGTTTCTGAAATATGTACTTTCTGGTAAGGTACTGGGCTAAGTATCTTAGGTACATTATCACTTATCCTCACAATAATTCTGAGAGAAATTAATCTGCACACACACGCACACACACACACACACACACACACACACACAGTTACTTAAAAAGAATGTGTCATCTGAAGTTCAACAACTAGTAAAGGATAACTCTCTGTTTTCCTGACTTGCCAAATCAATGGTTTATCATATGGATCTGCTAAGCCTTGGGGCTTATGTGGAGTCCACTCATGGGTCTAGACCAACTAGAGTAGGTCTGTGTCTATCTATATTACATATCAGACTTAAGTAGAAAATTTATTTTAAAAACAAGTAAACATACAAACAAAATTACTCATTGCTATAGAAAAGTTTGAAAAATAATGCCCTGTGCAAGTCACATCTGTCTCAAAGTCATATATAGGCTCTGAGTTGCTTTCATACAAGGACATGACTACCACCACATAGGATTCTCTTGGAACCCACCATCTAGGAACTCTCAGCTAACTTTCTTCTTGCCCCAGTGTGAAGAATAATAGTAAGAGTCATTGAGAAGTCCCTAAATGTTTATATGGGGAATCTTACTATGCTATCAATAAGTCCCAAGATACTGTGTTCTTTCCTCTTATACATTGAATCAGGAAAACCCAGACTGCATATTTGAAAACAGAGCAGGTCATTGCAATAAATATTTGCAGGAAGTAAATTGATATGCTACCTTACTAAACATAGCAAACTTGTAAATTCTAAAACCAAACTCAGGATTGGAGTAGTTTCATTTAAACGGAAAAGTTAGCCAGGGAGCAGTTTGACCTCTCTAACATCAAAGTACAGGGTCTTTCCATGTATTAATATTATTCCATCCAGATTTCGTTTCAGTATTCAAAGCCAAAAAAGTGAATAGAGAGAAGCAATTTGAGAAGTAATACTTAGAAACTCAAGTCACATATTTTTCTTGTTTTTTTGTTATGCATGAGTGGAGACCCAAGATGTTTGTTGGAAACAAAACGATGAAATCTTGAAGGTTGTTCTGAACCAGAGCATATGCCTAGGCCATGTAGATTTGTGTAAGAAAATTCATTTTTTTTCAGCCCACAGAAAAACATTCTCTATAAATGCATCCCATTAGATTTTATTTGTTTAACAGATATTCCCTAATACAAGGAGTTTTGTTTTCAGAGCTAGAGCTTTTTTCTACTTCAAAAGGAAATAATTCTGCTAAAGATTAAAAAAAAAAAAAAAAAGGTTTCCTAATTACATGAGAATCTGGTCTATTATAATTGTTTTTTCTTTGCTGGAGAAGCCATCTTCTGTGCTGTAACACAAGTCAAGTGAAATAGAACATTTGTGAAGAGGTTAATTTCCCTTTGAGACCAAAAAGTTCCTTAGTGTTCTCTTGTGGGATAGTGGGTAGCATATCCAATATCAAATTGTAATTGAACATCAGAATAGCTGCCATGATTTGCAAAGACTATGAGTTATTAAAAATAATATCAAATTGCCTTTCTTGAAAATTTTTAGAACATGGACAGAAGCCAAAAGGTAGATTGCACCTTTCTCTGACCCAAACTCAGCTCCTCTTATAGTCTGATTTTAAAACATTACCAGAAGGTTGGTATGCATTATTCCCTCTCTAAGTCTGTCTCCAATTAAGTAAAAAGAGAACTCTCCACATCAATGATTTCAAGGGACCAGCAGTTGGTATGTCGTTGGACTCCCCTGTGGTCAACTGCTATTTGAGTCCCGGACTAGGTGGCTTAAACTCATGCCCAGCATGTGTGCGTGTGTGCCCAAGATTCCAAGAAGAGAATGGAGGAGAAGGGATTTTGATGTGGCCATCCTCCCTGGGGGTGATTTCTCGCTTTCTCTCTGTCTCTCTCTTCCTGGTGAGTGCACACGCCCTATAGCCAAAAAAATAAAAAAATAAAGAATGATTTTAAATCATAAGAATCAAACTAACAAATTGTCCTTTTTGGATACTTTAAAAACTCAATGCCCTCTATACTCAGAGCAAATCCTCATTTAATCTATTTACCAGAAAAATGGAAGTGAAGGAAAACTTCACTTCCTAAATGCACCAACACTTCCTTTGTTACTATTATCAATTAAAATGTGTTTACTGGCTAATGACAATGGACCAGATTCATAGGACATCTGTATATACATTTTCAAACTTAAAATATTTGGAGATATTCTACAGGTATGTAATTTTTAAGATATAAGAAATAAACTAGATGTACAATATTTTCTCAACCAAAAGCCAAGTGTTTGTATAATTTTTTAAAGTTACATGTTTCTACATTGGATCATTCCTATTCTATGAACATAGATAGACACTGTTTTGTTAGAAGTTCCTATAAATAAAATAAAATTACTTATTTCTGCTTTGTTTCGCCCACTGATATAGTTTCTTGAATTGTTGAAAGCTATGGAACCTTGTGAACTTCACACTGCTTTAATGAGTCCATTAATATTGATGCATCAGCGGGGAAGATTTCCTGCCCTGGTCAGCAACCTTACTCTCATTCTTGTCCATCTCACTGCTTATTTTATCTGCCCCATGGAGCCCAAGTACCACCAAGCCCTCTGCTTCCTCTCTCCCCTCAACAGAGACTCCAGGGTTAAGTGGTATAAGAGG